TGTTGTTGTTGTTGTTGCTGCTGCTGTTGTTGCTTTGTTGTTGTTGTTGCTGCCGTTGTTGTTGTGGTGGTGGTGCTGCTGCTGTTGCTGTTGTTGTTGCTGCTGTTGTTGTTGTTGTTGCTGCTGTTGTTGCTGCTGTTGCTGCTGCCGCTTTTGTTGCCGTTGTTGTTTTTGTTGTTCTGAATGCTGTTGATGCGGTAGCGGAGAAGGCGGTTGTTCTCGGAGCTCTAGTGTTTGATGCTGCGGTAATTGTTGGCGATATTGCTGTCCCTGATGATTGTGTTGTACGTGATGATGATGATGTCCTTCATGGTGTGGTAAATCAAAGTGCTGGTGTTGCATTTTTTGGTTCTGTAGATCTTGATCCTGATCCTGATCCTGATCATGTGAGAACGGTTCTTCTTGCTGTAGCGAGTTAACTGATTGATTCAATTCAGAAAGTACATCTAATGCTTGACCAGATCCTTCGTAAACGTGGCCAAAAAGAGACCTACAAAGAACCAACATCAACCTTTGAAACTGAAGCCACAAGAATACATTACCTCAGGCGGTAAAACCGAAAATCTGCAACTATAATTTTATTCCTATAAGGTGGATATAAGTCAGTGTGGGATTTGAAGATTTCTTCATACAGATACATTTATACGAACTAACGACGAGCAGTTGTCTTATTTAGAAACAGCTTTTATGCGGGAAACTATAGTCAACAAATGTGTTATAGTTTACCGAAAGGACCCTGTTAGCTTTAATTATGGTTTAATTTATACATTTCACCTGTCACAGCCATGCAACTGTCTAGACAAAAATTTTGATGAAATTTTGATATGATTTTATTGGACTTTATTTAGGGTTTACTGAATTTCACAATATTTGGTGTACTAAATGGCACAGTCTCCTTTGTCTTAATAATTAAATTTTAATGGGTGCTACAAATGTATGTTGCAAATCTTGCTACATTGAAACGGATCACTCAAGAACAGGTGGTTATCGCTGGTCTGAACTTAACATAATCCTGTTTAAGCTAAGCTTTGGAACTAAAAGCTACCGACAAGTTAGCTGAATAGATACCAAAGGCGCTTTACATTCTAATGGTAATCTGGAGCCATGATTATGAAACGTACCAGATACCAGAGAGACAGATATAACTGTCGTCAGGCTTTTTCAAACAATGTATAGATAGTATTATCGATTTTATATATATGAGTCTTTTTGGGCAAAATCCAATGCAGCAAAACCACATGTAAAAACTATTTTAACTCATTTTATCAAATAAATTCTTTCACTGGTTAAGCGCAGCAGAATGTTATTACTACGAATGTTAGGGCATTTCATGTTCACAAACAATTTGTTTTTCAACTGTTTTTCCTGCGTTTTAATTTATCCGTCGCTCCGTCATTCGGCAAGAGCCACAATCAGTAAATGAATATTACTATTTTTCTGAAATTATGAAAATATTGTTGTCAATGTGACGTATTCATTTAATATGTATTAACGCCTGGAAAGCTCCTTCACTTATTTAAAAGATATATTCTCTTTCCCTACAGAATACAGATCAAAATTCACCGTTATGTCAAAAATATGGCGAACGCAATCTCAATCTTCTGGTGCAATGGTAGATGTTTCCCGTACAACCGAGTTTCCTGGCAATCCGTAACTACATACGTATCCAATGGAAATGCTCGGAAGAAATGTGTTTTGTGCCTTCGAAATAAAGTATCTATAGACAGTTGCTGACCCCTCTATTTCACTCAAATCTGCCTACGTATTGCAGGAGCATTGGCGTAAACGAACAAATCTGCCACCATTAAGACCACTTTTACTAAAAATGACAAAGGACTGAGTTCTTAGATCATTATTTCGCCTCAAGTTGATCATTTACTATACCTATTTATTGAAGGCCTGTGAGTAGGGTTCGAACCCCGGTCGGCATGCTCGAGTTTTTCACGCTGATCGGAAGAAGGAAGCATAAGGAATTGGCTCAAATACATCAGATGAGCTGCCTCTGCCGCGTCTCCGAACATGCAACTCCCACAGAATCCTCCGTCTTGCATGGGTATATCATGATGATCCATGGGAACAACGCCCAGCAAGAAGCGATGTCCTGATCTTCACAGGTCAGGCACAGATACCCAGGGCCTCACAATGTCAAGTTTCAGAATGTTAATTAGTATCCTAAAACTAAGAATCTGACGCTGATGAAGGCCCGCAGCACTTGAACTTGATTTACGTTCAAACACGACTTCTGTGGTTACGGTCTGAACGGGTACAACCGGCCACGTTCTTATTGGAGAGTTAACGCTAAAAGTAACTCAAGCTTCGTTCCCTAAATCAATAGCACTGACATAATCGCAGAATGACGCCAAAAAAAAATACTTCAAATAGGTGCGTCTCTTTTGCGTAAAAAGGGGCGGCATGATTTAAACAAAACTACCAATGCCTCAATTTCCTATTTTACCTGAAGTTTTTTTTTATGACGAACTGTGTCCTTTAACAATAAGGAATGATGTAAGTAAGCGAACTCCTATGAATAAATTTTTAAAATATGCATTTCTCCTGGACAAAAATTAAATGATTTAGAATGAAAGTGAATCTGATTTTAGATGTCTTAGCAGGTCCTCAAGTCCTGCTAGGATCCCTATCGATTTATTATTTTCCATCTGAAAGCTCTTGACTTAAAAAGTCAAGAGCTTTCTGTTATAAGCGTAGAAACGGCGCTTAATGGCCTTCTTAGTACTGGCTGCAGACAGCTGTAAAACCAGAAACCATAGATACTGAGTATACCATGCAATACGCGTTACAAACACTGCTACGAAGCTAAAAGAATTCCTTTCAGAATCATATAGTGCGTGAATGATTTCAGTATGTAAATCATTAGCACCAATCCTCATTCACTGGCCTGTTGAATTTACCTGTTGACCGAACCAATATACATTGGCTGGACAGATTGAAATTGGTTGGACAAAATTTGATTGGCTTACATATTTTTTTAAAATAAATCAAATAATGATAGCTCCTTCTATGAGCGAGGCCACAAAACGCGTCTTGCGCTAATTAATACTAATGGTAAGAATCAAATTTTTTTATCAAATCAATGTGCAAATTAAAAAAATTAATAGGCTAATGTGCACGTATATGGAAATTCCTGTTTTTATCTTTACATTTCCTTTTTTGAATATTGATATGATATAGAATAGCGCCCGTTGACTCCTGGCTTTACTAATCATTGCGATAGATGTTTTGTTGAAAAGACTGATGGATGGTTTTTCAATGGGTGCTTACTCAAGAAACCTCCCCTTCCAGCATCAAACAACTGAGCTGAAAAGAATTAAGTTTTCTGAAAATTCTAACCAATGTAAACATTGAAGTTTTGTGTCATTTCGGGCGGTGTAATTAGGTTTGCAGTTACCTTAGACCAACCTTAGTTAGATCTACATTTTTGCGATCTTGTAACATAACCGAAGTATAATAAGCGTGTTGTCATAGAATATGAACTCTTCATAGTTGTCGGTTGTATCCGTTCGCCTACCCACTAATTTGTGGCATAAGTTAATAATTGAACACTGGCAGCTACGCGAAAAACCAAACACGATATTCTTAACAGCACAGATAACTGTGTACCTTCGACCCAATTAGTTCTATATGATATTTGGATACCTGCGTAAAATATTATGATAACACCTAACACATAGTTCTTGCTCTCGTTTTGTATCGCTTCATAAAGAGCATAAGTTGTTCATTTTGTCTAGGATATGCATAGTTGTTCCTGTGTAATATATATTAGTCCCCTACAAGCTTCCGCGGTGGCCCTTCCACTACACCCTCCTCTCCCACCTAAGAGTAAAAAATAGGGCGTCTGCTAAATGTTCCATTCGATTTTAACAATCTGTGTACCAGATTGTAAAATGGTTCAATTTAATAGTATGGTTTTATTCGTTTTTGAATAGTTGCTAATGTTCATAATTGAAATTCTTATAATTTATCTTACTTTCGAGTAAGTTTACTGTCGGAAACAAGAAGCCAACTAATGCACGATTTCGATACAAAATTTTTTCAACAGGAACTTCTTCCATTCGCACATGTATGATGGTCCATTTGAACAAAGCTGAAAAGGATTATTGAGAAACATTTTGGTGTAAAGTTATATAAACTATTTCTATACATTTCGAACAGCGTCTTGTTAAGATGAGTAATTTCATTTCATACGTGAGGCCAATCGCTCGTCAACAGTCCACGACAGAGTTGCGGAGAAGTTATGTGCACATAGGATTCTACATCAGTGATACTAGTGAGATACGCAGTTGTAGCTCTGGCCAAAAGCGTAACTTATCATGGTACTCCTGTTACGAAAATATCTGCCATAGTGACATTGTAAAATTCGCCGAAAACAGCCTAATCAACGTTCATGACTCTATAGGTCTGTCTCACATTTTAAATCATTTAGATTTGATAGGTTCATTTCACAAATAAATATAAGAAATAGCATCTACTGAAATAACACAAAATACAACATCTGAGTTAAAGTGCAAGAATGCTTTTAATGAAAGAGCGAATAACGGATCGATTTGATTATTTAAATATGATCACTTAGAGCAGTACTGCTTTTTTGGTCATTAATATATTCTCTCCCATACCATATCGTTATATTGCTGACCAGTCAAAAGCCTTGAAGTAAAAATTTGTTAGTTTTTAAACATATTTTTATGTTTTAATGACAAAGCATGGTTTGCTATAAACTCATTATTATTCTAAGCACCATTTTTTTGCTTTCTTATACGTATTTTAAACAGGATTACCATGGTGGGCCTGTATCGCGGTGTCAACGCTAGGGCTTCGAATAACAACATCTTTGCCTTTGGCTGTTTATTCACAATATATTTCCGCAAAGCTAGCGAATCTCGGTAAACACATTCTTCAAAATAATTTTTTAGCGTGCATAATTTGTTTTTTTACGCGAATTTCAGGAGGACGCAATGAATCTTTCAAGTTCAACGAAAGAGTCAAATGCGCTACTCGAAGCCAGACTATTTTTTCTAGTCGAATTTGTACTATCATAGTTACTTTATTTAATAGTTAGACAGCAGCATATTTCACCGATGCTATACGTACATAATTTTCTGCTGGCGATGCTAACTCGATCTTGCTTCATGTCTGCCAGAACCTGAAGCACTTGAGTTGAAAGAAAAGTTACTATATCAAGTAAAACTTGCTGAACGGAAGTATGGCCTTTCCAACGCAGTAGCAAAGGCAACGTTCAATCACACTGTGAGTATTTCTAGATGGGTTGTACATTATTCTTGACCATTTGCTATGATCTATCAATACGGTTACACACATTTTACGACGGCATTTTCCACGGAGGATTACACTGCCAAAAGCAACCACAGAACAAATTAATCTACTGAGTGCTAAATACGGTAGTTGCTTTCGTTCAGAGAACGATAGTAGCGGTTATGTGTAGTGATACCACTGACGATTGAAAAGCTATTTGGTTCTTATTTTTTTTATTACACTGTAAATCCCTCACTTACTTTTTATGTTGCAGCTAAAAGTACGTATTTTGGAACTGTACCAACGCGAAAACTGCCATCCAGCGAAATCTACAATTACTGTATTAACTCAAATACCCCTCTGGATTACGTTTTCTTTGGCACTAAGGAACACCTCCATCAAGTCACTTCAAGGAGGTCAGTCAGAAAAAGTATAATTTAGTTTACACATTGCTTTGTTGGATGCTAATTTACTGTTTAATCGTTCGACCGTTTGAGTGCCGATTTGCCGACATAACGGTTAGAAGTAAATTTATTACAGTAAAGCTCATCTACAGTTTTAAACACAAAGAAATTACAAATTTCAGCTCAAGACATGCTAGAAACGCACAGAGGAAGCACAGCTGTTTGAAATTCTGCTTGAAAATCTATATATATGTGTGGATATACTATATAATTAGAGAATATTATGGTCGTTACCATTAATTTAGGTAAGCCCTATTTAATTTAATATTAAATATTTGCATTAAGTGCACTTCCTCTGTTTGCTTCTTTTGTTTTTATTCTATCTTTCACCTTGATCTCTTTTTATGGCAGTGCACGCTTTGGAATCATTTCAACACGAAGGCCTTCTTCAGATATCTAATTTAGCGCTTCCGGATCCGACGTTCATTGTACCTATTTGTACGGTTTTTATCAATCTCTTTAACATCCAGGTGAGAGAAGAGCTTACTTTATAGTTATTTTTAGTTAATAACAAAGATAAAACGGTATAGCAAAGTTTATGATAACGTCAAAAATAGCCCTCAATCTTTTAAAGTGTTCAGTAGTTTGGTTTTATTTTGTCATTTTTATTTTATTTACTATTTACTATTTTTATTTTAGAAACTCAAATGTGTTGAAATCTTATAATATGTATCAACACTCTCATACTGATCGAAAGTATTGATACTTTTCCTATGTTTCTGTGATCAAACCGAGTTACAAAAAAATTAAACGAGCGGTGTAATTTAATTGCTCAGATTGTCGCAGAATGTAAAGCTTACTCAAGTGGGCCTCGATTACGCGTGTATATTTTTCTTACGTAAAATACTCGGAGATAAGAACTTGATCAGAGATGCTACCACTAAATGTAAAATAACATCTGATTTATGTAAGACAATTACGCATAACTTTCGTGCCTTGTGATTGATTTAGTTATACAGCTTACGAAGCAACGCACCTGTTTTTGGCTGGAACCGAATTATCAGTAATGCATTTCGTCTAAGTGCAATCGTGTTTCTTCCGATTGCAGTTGTAACTCCATCTGTAAGTATTTACGAACGTCTAAATAGGTACGAACCAGTCATATGGTTCACGTATTTATTTAAATGCTCATGATTTGTTTAATATAGTATGATATTTAAAAATTACCGTTCAGATATCTTTCATTAAACCCCATTATCCGAGGATAATACAAATAAGTCAAGATCTTCTTCACGTTTTACACACTATTTCTTACCTTCAATGAAAAACAGTGCCTGCGCTTTTGCTCAATTTGACCCTAAGGTTTTACGCCCTGATGAAAGGACTTTTGTCTCGCTCTTACGCTAACAAGCACAACATTCGTAAGTGGTTAGAATAAATACAGAACGAGCTTAACTAATTAAAATCTGACTTTTTTTTTTTACATTTTAATTATATGTGTCTATTAATTCAAACATTTTTATAAATTACTTTGTTCTTACTCTTGGTTAATTTTTCTCAATTTGTTATGCTTTCCATATTTAGGGCATCACATTGTATTGGCTATGCAGCGCGTTAACAGCAACAGCTCAAAACCTCCTCCTAATGTCGCCTCGATTTCGACGATTGTGCAAAGTCCCGCAAACTAAGAAGGAATCTAAACAGCCATATGTTACAATCATCGAAAATTTACGCCGGCAATTACCTTTTATAAAACCAATGAAAAAATAATAGGTGTTACAGCTTATAGATATATATTCTTACTATTAGAATCCATACAATTGTAAGAAAAGCTTTAGTTATCTACTAAGCTAAGATAAATGTATAATAGAATATGTTTAGTGAAACTAGAGAGTACGAAACGGTAATGTGATATATAAGTAAGATATTACTGATCGTTTGAAGGTCAGATATTATATCTACCAATAAAATTATATGTACTTCCTTATAGTTTCTATCTGTGTCTTAGGTATAAAAATATTATGCATGTCCTTTCGAAGTTGATGCAGTACGAACTAGCTTCAAAACACGTATTTCTAATAATTAGAAAGATGAGCTGCTGGCCACATTTGATTACACGTTACGACTCAAGCTTTAGTCAGGGGTTAACATGATACCACACTAAAGCAGCAACTCCAGCTACAGCGTCAGTGAATACAGAAGACATGAGAACAAATCTGTATTACATCATCCATTGCATAATGTGGCTAAATGAGCTTGCTTTACCTATTCCCGTAAGTGGGCTTTATGTACTATTATATTACAGTAATGTTACTTTAGACTTTGTTTATTATAAAAAGCGACGATCTCTCGGAAGAGCGAAGTACTTCCTTCGACTAGTACAATTAACTCACTGAATACCTATACAAGCGATGTCCATATGCTTTATTTGAAGCTGCATTATGTAACTGACAAATCCGACCGAAAGTGCGCAACTTAAATCTCCGTTTTAACCGACAACATTCAGTTTTTAAACCTGATTTAAGTAAGTTACATTCCTCTTTAGAGTAGTACTTTTTCTTAGTTGGCATCTTCTAACAAGAACAAACGCAGTCATGATCACACATATTACCATAAGGCATAAAGTCATCAGCCCAGCCCCTGATAAAAAGACTCTCTTGATTGTAAAGAATTTCGAAGTTACATAGGATTACTTTAGCATCAGTTCTATGATAATAACAACAAACACAAACTCAGCGGGTGATATAGAATGCCTATTGGGGGGGGGGGGGGGTCTTCCTGATCTATTTCATTCGGAACGTTTATACTTCGAAAAGGTTGTAGACATTGGAAAAGTTGCACACATTGTTGAGTCCTTCTACGTGTCTCACTGTTTCTGACTTCCTCTTTTATCGGTAACAATGTGTCGAGAGAAAATGGAGCTCCACAACGCATAATTCCGTAAAAAAGTCGCTTTTTTTTTAATTCGCTGGGAAGAACAAATGAGCTCAACTAAACAACCTGATCGGTTATAATATATGTAAGACGAGGAAATTAGACGATAAGAAAGACCAGAACCCAGTCGCTTTCAGTCGAGGACGGCCGTGTGATCACCCCGTAAGCCGTAATGTTGGTAGGTCGCTAACGGCTACATGTCGACTACTTTCCAATGATAAGCCATCTCCTCTTGATTTCCTCAACCTGCTTTGCAGTAAAGGGTTCACTTACTCGGATTTTGACCTCCAGTTTTCCGCCTGTATCGCGTCGCCCATCCATTACGGGAAACACCTTAGGAATTAGTATGAAATATAAAACCTTACTTTTTCAGCAAACGTCATCCTTAATCTGTCAGATGTTCGTCTCAGAAACCTAGTATATGTTTCGGATACACAGCTTAGCATAATAACATTTTCTTTTAATTTTTTTGTTATATATCTCGTAATTACACAGACACATATTAATTCAGCCCTGGGCAGGATACTGTTTTCTCGAAGCGATGATTTTGAGCATCGTACCTGAAATTAGTCGTACGCTAGAAGGCAATCATGTCTAGTACATTTTTCATGGATAAGTGTAAAATATTACTCTTCTCCAGTTTCTCATAAGTTTATAATACTACTAAAATGAGAATTAGAAGTAGCGTGTGTTAACAGAATTATTGATGTTATTTTTTTCACATATGCAATGCGATTGGTCTGTCTGTCTACCACATTACCTCATGTAGATCACATTTTGTCTCTAAGTCCGCCAGCCTGATTGAAGCTGCGCCAAGGAGTCCGTCTGCTCGCAGAAAACCTCGTTTTGACCAAATCTCAATTTTTAACTGAAAAATTGAATGATCATGATACAAGTCTAGAATAAGAATAATTGAATTTATCACTGCATAAATTGATTAGGTCTGATGATTATCACTTGCACTGATCTACATTTACGCAACAAATATAAGGATACGCCCGACGTTTGATCGATGAAACGTTTTACAGAAAACAATGATCGTATGAGTCTCTCCACTTCTCGCTTACGTATGTAATCGATACTTTACCTGTACTCGTTTTAAGGCTCGGATGAAGGTTCGGGACTTGCGGGCTACTTCAAAAGAGCCAGTAAAATTGTAATCAGGATTCGTCGTATCCTTCACTGTCGAACACCTCTGACTTTGAGGAGCATCGGCCGGATACGCAAAATCAATCTGAATAAAATACTAGTGTTAATAATCCACTCAATTTTTTATACTATGATCAACATCAATCACACAATATTATTATATCTGCAGGGTCTAGACACAGTAGTTTGTAGTGTTTCATTCGTTCCAAATCACGGCACTGCTGCAGACGAGTTTATAGGCACAACTTTTTAAAAAATGCTACAATTCTGTCAATGCCTTGGAATGGAACATTGGTAACTGATCATTTCTTGTTTAGCTGAAGAACGTTTTTTGCTACGTGGTGGCAATTCGGAGCGCCGGGCATGAAAATCATTACATGTGCTTCGATGTATGCGCCGTAATTACCCTTTCCAATGCTCTCTAAAATCAGATTGTTATTAAAAAAAAAAATCAGCTTTTTTTATTAGTGACAATGTATACTGTTTTAGTATGAATAAGTAACCACATAAAGCTACTCAACTTCCAGATTAAACCTATTTACATATCAAGCACGGTTTCGGAAATAATTAATAAAAATTAGGTTTTAAAGCTAGTTTTAAGAGCTCGCGACATTAATCCAGTTATCCTAGCATAATACGGGACACTAGGTAATATATTAAGCTCGACTTTTCATATCAACCACTATACCTTGCAAACGCAACAGTGGTTTTAAATTTTTTTAACGAATTCACGCGGCCTGCCGAAATAATTACGAGTTAATTTGCAGTAAATCGCATATATTAGCATAAAAATATAAACACAACTAACAAAATTATCTGTAATGATCTTTTAAGGAAGTCTGCTGGGCCTGTCAATTCCTAATATCAGTTGTTCTTCAAGCATTCTGTCAACTAAATGCTTGTTCACTGAAATATAATATATTTATTTAAAAATACAAATACATTTGGCTGAAGCCTAATGAAAACGCAGAGCCCTTGCCAATTGAAGCATTTCTGCATGTACATTTCGATGCGGCTTCCGACCTCTTTCACCATTTTTTTCTTGTTGTGTCAAAAGATTTTTTCCGCCACAGAACGGTCATGGGAGCAGAGTTCTAGAGAACCCTTTATAGCAAAAGCAAATTATGGTACAAGACATTCTTTTAGTTCTTAAACGATAATTCGTGAAGACAAAAAGTGCTCCTGAAAAAAGAAGGCTTATGTCCTTTAGGGCAAACAAGCCTCTTCATACAGAAGCCATTAACTAAAAAGGTCAAAACAACGGTCACCCTTTCTTGAAGCTTGAACAACAATTTTCCTTCTGTTTTTTTTAATGCCTTTCTCAGCCGTATCAATAGTTGTTTAGAACGGAACAACTCTTCTTATGTTTTCCTTGTGTTACTTAAATGCTTATGTCTTCGATACAGGTGATCCGCCAGAGATTTTCGTCAGAAGTTCAGAATAAAATATTTGTTTAGCAACACAAATTTAAAGCAAACTCTATGTTCGATATTAATTTCTAGAAATCGCGGAGCGCACGTAGGTTCAAACCACTTTACAGGCAGCTTGAAAAAAAAACTAGCAGGCGGATTGAACGAAAATCTATGTAATCTTTGCGTACATAGATGACACTTCCTCTGCAGATTCGGATTTGGTCAAACTTTTTTACGGACTTCGTAAGTAAACCATACACTTAATTGACTGTATGTGCGTTTCAATTATCTTGGTGCAGTAGGTATGATTCAGAGTAAAGAGGTGTTTTGTGTTGGGAGAATGATATATTGTTTAATAAATACCTTGACGTAGGTATCCAATTCGTTGGGTTTACCGGGTAATGTTATACCGCGAATAACCGAGACTTGCATTACGTTCTCAGGCACATCATGATTGTGTCTGACGATGGTGAACACTCGATCTTCGTAGCGGAAACTGGAAACACAGTGCAAATACGACAACAGGAATAAAATAAAGCTGCATTTTTGTACGTAGACACTTTACAGCCAACTATAACAATATCTGGGGTCCTCGTGACCAATTTAAGAGGTGTAGCCACTTCGGACACGTACTTCAAATATCTGTTAACATCTATTAACCGGAGAATAAAGATTTTTTTGTCCAGAACGCATCAACATCATTATGCTAAGCTTTGTGCACGGACATAGTATTTCTAAAACGATTTTGTGACTAGATTTTCTCACGGGATTTTTTTAAAAGATACTGTACCAATTTTTTTCATTTTTGCAGCTTTGTTAGAGGTGAAGCATACCTGGGCACAGGCTCGCCTCTCTTCCAAGATGCTTTGAGTACGCTTATGTCCCGGCGTGTATCCTGAGCGAGTTTTTCAAACTTCGTGCCAGATCCCACGTCCCCCAGTTTGAAAAAATGCTCTTGATTTGTCATGCATGTTTCATACTGTTCTTCCAGATCTACTTCAAGTGTCCTGTATAATTCTTCGCTATCTCCTGACAATTGAAAGTCGCAGTCTTCTTTATCCACGACAACAAAATCCTGCTGTAGTTGCGGTGGAACGGGGATAGAACTGAGGTCAACCGGTAGGCCGAGTTCAGTGGCCTGAAGCATCGGTTCTATACCTTTCATCATTCGTACATACTCCATCGCTTGTTCCTTACTGGCACCGTTCTTAAGTGCCCCCTTTGCAGCTTCCTTAAACAACCGCTGGCGTTCGAGCAAAAATTGCTTCTGTTTTTCAATAGTTGTAGACATCTGTCGCTTTACGCATTGTTTAGGTGGAGACGGAGCTGCGGACATTGATGCTGATGGCGTTGGAAGGGTGTAGGTCTGAGCGCTGCTGTATGGTGAAGTTAATGAGGATTGACTTTTGTTCACCGATGCTGAAACTTTTTGTCCAGTAGCCGTTTCGCTAGGTATAGGGCCAAACCCAGGAGGCACTGGAAGGTCTTCGAAGTTAACTTTTTTTCCTGCTTTATGAGCTTTTATGGTCGTCTCATAGTCCTTGACAATGCGTCCAAGGCGCCTTGCCCTACTAGAATCGCCCTTATCTTTTGCTTGTGCTTCAGCCTCCTAAATGTCAAAAAAAAACAACATTAACATTTTGGTGAATGTTATTGTAACACAGAAGTACATTCTATTTTTATTCTATGTAAAATATATAATAGCGTACGTGATATGTAGTGTACCAAATGTTATGAGCTGTGATTAAATATCTCGTTACATGAAACCTAGTCAAACAGTAAGCTTCTCATGATTCTGTTGAAAATGAGACTAAAAACTTATGCTAATGAAAATAGCTACATATATCAACCTGGTACTTCGCTAGTCTCTGTTCCAGGGCACCCAACACAGTTTGTGCCTGCGGTGGGGCATTGTACATAGCTGGATCGGTCTTCGAGTTCATGTCAATAAAGTCTGGTATCTCCTCCTGTGCTGTTGATTGAAGAGGTATTGAGCTTATAGGTGTTGCCGGACAAATCATTCCAGGGGGAGGGGGCGGCATTTTTGAAAGTTCAATCGGTTTTCCTTCTAGTAATGCCTGCATTCAAGATGTTCAATGTAAAATTAGACAATGCATAATAACTGTACAATGATTCTGCATAACTTGCAAGACCCCACTAGACTTCGAGCATCATGTACCCATAAAAATATTAGATTTGCCCGTTTTTTTTGTTTATAGGTAATTAAAATCGTTTACGATATCTACACAAGAAAAGTTAACCAAAAATTATTTGTTCTATAATGTTCTGAAAACAGCGAGTCTAATGTAAACGCACTCAGTGTCAAAGCCGTGTATTCTTATCAGTACTATATATTGATTTCAAAAACGACCATATGGAAATACAGTCGTCTTTTTTTTAAGCGAAAGAAGCTTAAGAAGAATTTTCCACTAAATAAAAGCCTCGTGTAGCCAAATTTATCATTAAATTCACCAAACTGGTCGCTTTTTGCACTTTTTCAAATAGGCAAGCACATACTTATTAAAGGACTCCCTTCAAAGCTGTTGATCTCCATGAAAAAGGAGTACACGAAGCAACCAGTTGGTTGACTGTGTCAACAAACATAGATAACCATATCAAATGTGTTAGCGTTTGTGCATCGCTAAGGAAATATATCGACAATACTGTTTTATCCATACATATAGCGAGTGCAAAACTACGATGTCTTCGTTTAACCTAACGGATACATAAATATAAGCATGTCTGCTAAACTGAGCTATAATCAGAGACCATCTAGTTGCTTCCATTGTTTGTAAAATTAGCATCAACGGCATACTTGGTGAAATTCGGTTAAAAAAAATCGAGTTGCATTAAATTTCTGCCGTGTGCACCTACAACAATCCAAAAGTTTGAGAATTTTATAATATCAAAATAAACGTTCCCCTTTTAGAAAAAAAACGGAGATGCCCATACAATCTCTGGCTCATAATAAGTTTATACAACACATTAGGTGGTTAAGTACGAATCATGACTTTATGAATTATAATTTCCAGAACTTTCACAGGCTTAATTTCAATTAAGGTATGTGCCATTGTAACCTTCTGCCATTTGGAAGATATTTAAACATTTCTCTCCTGTAGAATCTAAGATACGAGAACCTATAAAAATTTCAAAAAGCAATTTCGACATGATGTTAAGATTTGGATAATTTTCCTGTTGATAAACCTTCGAGAGTAAAACACGTATTAAAACGTATATTAAAAAAAAAAAAGCAGTATTTGACGAGTATCATATTGACATCGGGGTTCCAGCTGCAACTTCTGCATTTTTGTCACCACGATTTTTACCATGTGAGCTTGAGCATTGTCGTACAATAGGAATGGTTTACTTTTGTTTGCCTTTCTTAGCTACATCAAGGGAGTTTTTATTTTTTCCGTTTGCCGACAGTACATATCAGCCGTAATCGACAAACCAGGATTCACAAAGTTGTAGCAGGTAACACTTGCATTAGATTACAAAACAGATGCCATAATCTTTTATATATATATATATATGCTTTAGGCTGATAGCCGTCGATCCGATGCATTAATTTGCTAATATGACCGTCTGCATAGAAGTTCAATTTTTCATTACAAGTCACAATGCGATGCAAAAATGGGTCACATGAAAGCAAAGGTAATCAAGCCACCTTACGTTTCCGTTCTCTGTCCTCTCTCAGATCATGCTACACCCAACTGTCAATTTTTTTTATCTTCTTCATTTGATTGCGGTAAACAAACGTAGTATTTTTTATATATACCAAATTCGAGTGCTACCACCTGTGCATTTTGACATGAGTTAGGTTTTAGCATAGCTCTCGGCGCTTCGTTACTCATTTTCGGAGGAAGTATTCGACGAGACAAAATTTCGAATTTAAATTGTTCCTACCGGAATTTTCCAAATAACAGCTCGCGGTGTTTTAGTAATAAAACCTTCACAGAGTACAAGATTTATACAGCGAGCTGTCTACGTTGCTGTAGTTCCAAGTTGGAACTTGTACTCATAAACCACTTGAATATTTTGACTTTTCATAGCTCACTACAGTCGACCTGGTAAAAGTTCGAGTCACGATATCCAAATGGAAGGTTTTAGATTCCAAAAAGTACACATATATATGTAAACCTGGGATTAGGAGTTTAAAATTGGACATATTTTCTTAAGAGCTTACTGTTTTTAGAATATTGGAGAAAATCGATAATTTGATTGAAAATATTTCTACCACTAAAACTACACATTTACAATGCTTATTCGGTTAGTGTGGGGCTTTAGGAATGTTAATTGTCCGTAAAAAAAAAACAACCGGCGCAATCAGGTGTTTAAGCTAACGAAATTCCTTATCAAATCTCGCTAGGTACAGTAGAATTATACCAATAGCATGGAGAAACTCTTTACGTAACTTTTTTTGCTTTGAGCGTAAACCTCAGATAGTACATTTTTGAGTCAGACTTCGTCCTAGATATCGGCGGCTCCATAAAACGCTCAAAAATTGCATGTTTATATTTCAAACCTTAAACTGTGCATTTTTAAAGAAATGTCTTTTACTAGATGATTGTAGTTTTTTACCAGCCGCTTATTAAAGAGACATTTTGAAAGAATAAACTGCGATGGATTAATGGAGAAAAGACAATAAGTTTTGAAAAAAAAAGTAATGAAAAGGCCGAAGATTAATTGTGATATCATTGAAAATGATAATAATGTACACTAGTTCACACCTGAAGTACTACATCGAATTGCTTTACTGTACGCAGATACTTGATGGCCAATTCTTTATCTCCCTTTTGCTTAGCCATTAAAGCCGCTTGACGATACTGATTACGACGTGTGGTAAGCAAATCTTCTTGCGTTAATGAACTCCCGTCTGAGGCAACCGGTACTGACACGGATGGAGTAGGTGCGGCCAGCTTCTAAACAAAATTTCATAAAAGAGGTTTACGTTCATTATATTTTGATTAGTTTGGTTTGTATTTGTGTTATAGTGTAGAAATAGTATTTAGAGCTAAACTAAGTATATCAAAGCAAAATGTGTATAATTTATAGATAAAAATCCTGTAAATATCCCATGACCCGTATGACAGTAGAAGTAAGTCTTGTTTCTCACGGACGCTATAACATGTGTTGAATATGGAATTTAGAACCCGGGACATAGCTTGGGCTTAACAACATAAACCCATATGATTGTTCAAACGCCTTTCTATCCTGCATATCACTTAAGTGCCGATTCAGGTGATCTCTTTTGCTAGGAAGATTCTCCCAAGTTTCCCGGCAAAGAGAGATTCATCCACGTAATCCTACGTGTAATTTATTCATACTGAGAGTTTTAATACCTGCGGAAGCTTTAATTGTGGTGGACCTGAAGCTGATCTGCTTGGTGGTGACATTGGAGCTTCTCGAAATGACTTTGAAGCTTGCGGGTCATTTGATGAAACCTGCTCAGTCCTTTCGATATCATCAGTATCGTCAAGATCATCAAGAACAGTTGCTATATACGGTGGAGGGTATGTTCCCGATGTTTGTAGATTTGGTAGTGGCACAGCTTCTTGTGTTTTATTATATGAACCCGCTCCACCCTCGGGCAGCTGAAAATAATCAAATGATATTTTATAGACCCCTAATTGTATCTTGAACCTAACTAATCTCAAAGATAGCAAATATCTAAGCGGTGACTGTACGAAGACTTTTATTAAAACAAAAATCCGCCAAATAAAGTAAATAAAATAAAGCAAAAATAAATTGCCAATCGTATTTAGTGGTAGGTGGCATCAATTACAACCACCAGTTAGTCCCACAAAACTAAACTCTAAAGTGATAAATCTCAAACCGATCTCATAATGAAAAGCAAATCGTTCATGGTAACTCAAGAGAATTGTACTCTCTTACCATTATTGCATAACATCAAGTTTCATATCAATTTATTAAGTTATTAGAGTCAAACCTGATCTTCTGGTTTTCCGACACGCTCCTCTTTACAACATTCAGGTGATGCTTTAGGAACAGCCACGGGAGGTGGGATATCAGCTTCTGGGATAACCTTCCCAAGCTGTGCCTGTCTTAGTTGTCCTTCAAGGGTTTTGATAGCCCGGGAAAACCTGATTAGATAACCACATCGAATACATTAGTATAGTACTGTAGTAATTAGAAAACTATTTTTTCGGCATAACCAAAGTAGACTGCACCAAATTGTACCGAATAGATTGCAGTAAATTACGTACCTCCAGAATACAGTGAAAACAAAAAACATGGGTGCTAACAGGTATTTTTGATTGTACCAACATAGGGTAGAATGTTGCGACTGAATCAATATCAAGAAAGAAGTTCCGACACAACTACAGCACCGTTCCTACAACAAATACCACAGGGATAGCATTTGCGTAAGTTACGAATACAGCCAAAAAACTTCTGTGCTACACCTTTAAGGTACTTGTTCGTGTTAATTACCTGCGAACTTTGCTACTGTCGCCGATTTTTTTTGAGGCTTCTTCGGCAACTCGGTAGTTCTTGAGACGATTAGAAAGCACGTCAGTAATGTCCATTGGACTTGGTGTACTTTTTGAAGATAATATCGAAGCCGTTTCGATAGGTACGTTTTGCGGTCGAAGAGCTGGAGTCGACATTGGAGAGATTGACTGAGGAGTTTCTTGGGCAACATCATCTTCATCTTGACTATCATTTAACTCGTTCAATTCGGCTAGCAATTCTTCATCATTCTCAATGCCTGTAACAGACAAGTTTAGTTTTTGCGATAATTCCTCTCGTCGTTTTTTAGCTCTTGTAGTACTACCTTAAACAAACAGAGCTCCCGTATGTTTTATGCTAGTATAAAGAGAACAAACACATAAATATCGCACTTTTCACGCAAGTACGTACCTTCTAGATCGACATCATCATTACTTATATCGTCCATTATTGCAGCATTTGCCATCGCCTTTATTGAGTCCAGATCCATTGGGGCTCTCTTCTGTGTTGATTCTTCGCGCTTTTTGTGGCGTTTACCTCAATAACAATAATAGTATAATAAAACAAGCTAGGATAGAACAATGTGTATGCATATCTCGACTGGACAAATCGTTGATTATTTGATTAATATTTCGCATTTTTGAATATACATATAATTAGACCATAAAAAAAATAAATAAAATAAACGAATGGGTAAGCTATAAGTCAAAATGCACTAATACACATGTCCTGTACAGGCTTTCCCCTACATAAAAACCCGATATACATAAGTCAAGGACTATATATTTGTATCACTGATTATGTATTTCAGATTTAAAAATGATTTAGGTATTTCTTAACATCGCCATTGTTAACAAGTTATGAAAATTCATCATTTACCGGACATAAGAGCATTTAGTTCCGCCTCTAGGTCTCTTTCATCGATATCGTCATCATCTTTACTATCGAAATTCAGATCATTGATATCCATGAGACCCAGACCAGCAAGATTCATACGACCGAGCCCCGCCATGTCACTCCCAAGCTTCCGGCCAGCATTTCGAGATTTACGAAACATTCTTCAAATCTTAAGTCAAGTGTTGACTTTTTATTCTGAAATAGAGCATGTTTTATGGCAGATATATACATTAGTTATTACAGCAGAACAGGGGCTTCGTCGGGTATCATTAGCCTTTGTCGTTCATACCGTCATTTTAACTTATAGTACAATACTAGGCAATAGTTTAACTCCAGGGAATATCACGAAGAGTGATTTAGCTAAACGTAATTAGCCTGGTTTGACTCAGTGTCTGGTGATCATAAATGTCTACAAAGTAAACACTAAGCTACTGGGCCACGAGTATTGGGCAGACTATTAGAGTACTATAGAACACATGTTTTTACATAGACTTTTACATAGCTAATTCGGGTAGGCATTTTGTTTTTATCAATATTAGCGGCAAGGTCTTTAACTATTGTTGTCTGAGAAATATGAGACAGGCATTTAAAGTGACACGTCAGTTTTTTTGCTCAGTTTTCCACCAAATGCTAAAGCGAGATTATGAATGTGCAGTGTAGAACAGCTTATATGACAATAGTTTATTCAAAGAACTCGGAGCATTTTAGACGTCTGGATGGTAAGTTAACCAAAAAAAACGATGATGCAATAATATTTTTAATACAATCTAATATTCTTCATCTACAGTATATAGGAGAAAGGACATAAATGGAGGCGTCAACTTTTGTTTAAAAAAATGTAGACGTAGTTAAAATGGAGATGTAAATAGGTAAGTTAATTGATTTTTATATGCCTTAGTTCTAGGAACATGCTTGAGTGAACAGCGAAATTAGCAACGTGAAATATTTGTAACTATACGTGACTAAGTAGTAAGTACTGTTACGTTTTTATACGTAATTTATGAACACAACGATTATGATTTGCGTATCTCTTATTTTCCTAATAAACTATAGGCTTGACTATCTTTAACTGCCTTCAACAATAAACTTATTTTTAGTCCTCCCTTTCCCTATATACCTCACCACGCTAAAGACAGCCTAAGCAGGTTTTTTCAGGTATGCCCAGAGGAACAATGGATGTGTATTCACTCCAAATGGAAAACTCATTGTAAATATCATATTTTTGTTACTAATTTTACCAATATGCCACTTTCTGTGTACGATCAATTCCTGTGCTAGCAATGAATACTATTTATTGACTTTAATAGTAATTATTTTGCGTGTACATAAATAGAGGCCGCTGTATATTTCTTGAGCGTTTCTTGTGATACAAAAAATTAAAAAATAATACGATATATGCATATTAAACAAAAGATATGTACATAATATAAATAATATAAAAATTAAATATAATAATAATAATAATAATAATAATATAACATAATATAAAAAAAAACAAAATAAAGTTTCCACACATTCTAGTCACGGTCTCCTGACAAATTTAGGGCATAATTCGGAAATTCAATAATTCACGATAAATAAAAAACCTATAACAAACTTTTTTCATGAAGAGAATAAGGTCATCGGAACTGAAGATCCATGGTAGCTAAAGCACAACACGATCTCTCTAGAATCGAGCCCAGCGCACAAAATGCATTGGCAAAATATTATCAATAGAGCATCAATCGAGGCAAGATAGAGATTCTCAAAAATGTATGAAGTAATCATAAGCTCTTTGGTTGATATGTAATGTTTTATAATGAAAAAATGTAATTCATTTCCACGAAAATATATGTCAACTTATTACTTGCGAATTTTCAAGCAGCACTTGCTGAAAAATGGGAATAAGATACGAGTAGAAAATACTAAAACAATCGCTCTGAATATTCCCTACGTATGAAGTTATTGTAGCGAAGTGCTGCAGATTCAACTTTCGCCAACTGCTGAGTAGACATGACCATAAATATTCTGGGTGCAGTGAATCCAAAAAGCAATCTTTATTTTTAGATATTGAAGTTTTAACATTTGTCAATTAGAAAGAAATCGAACATACAAATCACCAAAAAAGTCGAACCTTGGGTACTGAAGATACACTAATGAAAGAATTGTCAAAGGCGTTACTATTATTTGTGTGACACATCCGCCAGGACTAGTTCAGCTGTTTATAGTTACATTTATTGTTTACTTACACTCGGCACGGTGCTGGCAGAATTATTCCGAGGTTTAACAATAATGCTCGGATGTGTCGACGCCGCACGGAAGAGTCTAGCCTACAAGGCTAGATAATAAAGACAAAATTTAGATATTTTGTGTGTACGGGTAAAGGTACGAAGCTACACCAAAACCTAACATAATTCGCAGGAAAGCGAAAGACATTATCACAGTTTATTATCTGAATAGCGCATAAAGGTGCAAAATAAATGACACTAGAGTGTTCCACTTAATATCCATAGAGATTCAACGACTAAGTTTTGTTAGCTCAAAAAATAAGATCTAATCCAAGTTTTGCCGTTTAGAAGAATGGACTTTTTAATTTGGTAGACTTTGTTCAATTTCTTAATACGAGTGAAATTTACACTGCAAAAAACAGTGGCGCATAACTTTATTTTTTGTGAAATAATAATAAAGTGTAAAGATTAAGATAAGATGGTTGATATCGACATATAAAATGAGACAAGAGGTTTCGAAGGCCTAATATTTTACAGCATGAAATAAAATGCTTACAGGGATATTTATACAGCAGCCAATTGCTAAAGAAACGGTTTATAGTTTATGGAAGTCCTAGATGGTTCACCTGGATCATAATAATAAGGATGTTAAGAGCTAGTTAGTAATGTCTGATCTCATTCGCTATAACACTCACACTGGAAGTTCAGAGTAACTATCTTTAAACACACGATTTTAATCACAAGGTCGAAATAATCATTGCTTGAAGCAGCTATGGACTGACTGCATTACTGGATACAAAAGAGCAAGACAGAGATTTGCCCCTAAGGCAAGCGGTGTCCAACAAAGATCCAAATAAAGCATCGAGATACCATAGCTTGGCTTTAGCGGTCCTGGCTTCAGATTTGGCTGAACGTTACACGTGCGAAGTAATAATTACAATGTAATCTTAAATGGCTCAGACATGTCTTTTCTAACCTATTTCACTGTAGCTTATTTAACCCAATTGCAATTTAAAAGATTTTAGCTGATGTTGTACTCGGATCACTACCCGTAACCTGCTATTGTAAATAATGGATGTCGGGATAGCTATACGAATCTACTGGGCGCACCCGTGTTTTCAACAATGCTCGAAAATATTCAGTATTAGTATTCTTGGTAAAGGCCTATTGACCATAAAACGGTGGAGACCGGAACGAATTTATTACAGGTAGATAATGTAAGAACGGTCGCTCTGATAAGACGCAATAACACTGATGATAATAATGAATAATGATTAATAATGAGCTTCATAGTGCGAAACCGAGATAAGATATTCTACCGTCGTGACACCTTTTTATTATTAATATGGTAAGAACTAAACAACTTTTAATAAGCATTAACTCGCGATCATAGATATAAATGAGTGAGCGAAGAGCTATTTACAATCGTTGCAACAGTTCTGCTCTGTCGCCATGATATTGAAGATGGATCCGCAAAAGATGATACCATTTGTACTTCTTTATTGAAGGTGTTTACCTCTGAAAATGTTAATTATTTACTATAATTCTGATTCTCTTTCACATAATGATGCAGAAGTTAAGAAAAAGGATGTATATCGTTTTGTGAGTTTGTTAAGATCATTTAATTTATATATATATATATATATATGCGTTAGGACTACTTATCTATCTTGTTTATCGATCTCTTCGTGTGTTATAGCAGTTATTAATTTATTATTCTATTATTATTGTCGATTTTGTCTTGTTTTGATTATTATGAACACTGTTATACCGTCTACTTCTTGCTATATAGTTGTGGCCTCGATCACTGTCATCTGGGTGCATACGCTTCGTGCTAGCAGGCACTGAATCGACTAACGCACCTGCACTGCACGCCCGGTAAGGGAGCTCAGTTCCAGCGTGTTCACCTATGACTGTTACCGTGCCGATCGGTGCTACTTTCTGGCCGAGGAGTCCTTTAAGAGACGCACTTCTTCTGGACATGCGCCGGCGGAGGCACTGCTACGGCAGGTTTGTCCAAACGTTTCAGTGCTATGTTTCTGGTGCCAAGTACCATTTACTGGATTAAAGCTGGTATTTAAGATCACGTTTGGGTAATTCTGTGAAACGCTCAACGAAAAAATATCGCTATCGTCGGAGGCGCTGTGGTTTTCTTTTTCACTGGTCAGCCTGCGAGCCAGCGATTGGGAGAAGACGTGTTGTTCGCTCAGTGGCGTAATGTAAGTCCAGTGGTTGTAGCCGCTAAACATATCCAAGCGATTAGAATGTGTTTGCTGTTTGTAATAATCATTTTCTGTTCTGATATTTCGTGATATGCTTAACTTTTACGAATTGGTTCTTGTCGACATTTAGTAGAATAGATGATGGAATTGAGCATTTTAATAAACTATTATTTTGAAGTTTCTCCAGTTGTACATGTTTTCTTTTCAGCGGTATATATATCGGTCTATATAATTTGAGTTACTTTGATGAGTTTTCGAACCTCTTAAATCTAAACGCTTTTAAAAATCTTCTGGTTTGTCTACTAAAAGCCATCTTGAGGTTTTTCAAAAGCCTTAATGTAGACGATGGGTTCCGTCAATTTCAGGCGAAAAAGGAAATTCTTACTCTTGGTAAAGGTTTGCCCAGCGTAGAAAGATTAGATAATAGCTGATTTTCGCTCAAACTACAAAAATGACGTATTGTTGTTTGCGGTAACGAGCTTTTCGTAGTGTTTTTAGAGAGAACTAGCTTTCATCTGGCATAAGGGGATGAATGCGTGCTCATCTCAACAAACAACCCTCTAAAGTTTTTCCAATCAGAACACATTATCTTATATATATAAGGGATAAGCTCTCGTTTTCTGAAAGGATTAATAGGTCTATTTTGTTATCATGCGACATTTATTTTTTTCAAAATATATAAAACCTTGCAGTACGTGAACGTTCTTCTACTGGGAACATTGTAAGCCATTGGTCCGAAAATAGGAAATTCTGAATTCGAAGGTAAGTCTCATGTAATACACCTTCATAAAATCGATAACGAAGAGTTGTAAGTTATGGTGTAAACCAACCCATCTTAACGTGCACAAGTATCAGTGCGCAGTGTTGGTGTACGTAAGCATAGCACACCTATTCACTTTATTCAAATTATTCAGGTAAAAGTTGAACCGGCGAGGCATCATTCAAAAACAAATGTGCAACTAGAAAACTTATGTGCAGCTCTTATCCATTGCGGCTACTGGAAGTGTACTTTTAACGACTAAAGATAATAAACAAATCGCACATACGGCGGCGAAGACTAGTATACAGAGCTAAACCACACATACTGTACGATAACGCTAAATTTCGCACCGCAAGAATCAGCGTTTCAAAAATCAAAATGATTACCGTTTTACAACAGCGAAATTCATAGAAATTGCTTAAAGTCACAGATATTAATGGTAAATGCACTGATCGAAAATAAAATAGAACTGTTATTTTAAAACATTTTTACGAAATTTAAAACGACTTAATATTCGTATATTTTATATAATGTATATTCAATACCATACCGGATGATCGAGAAAGTACGAACGGTTTTAAGTCAAAATTGAAGCAAATATTTTATATACCTTAAAAAATTTTGCTAATCTAGTTATGCTTCACTTTGATCTATAACCGTTTGCCATTTTTCTGGAAGTGCCGTAAAGCCAACAGTGTAGAACTTCTGTAGTTACTGGAAGAAAAATTGTCACAAGTAATTTTTGCATCCCTACAGCGAAATGAAATTAACATTACTAGGAGAGTTTTGCAAAAGACGAAACTGATAGTAGCCTGACTGCGCAAAATCAAGTCTATAGGGTGGACGCATTAAAGTTTCTCCCCTGGCTTTCTTAATTTCAATTGAGTGGCTAAGCACATAAGTGGCCTGGCATTATCATAGCGCAAGACGGCTTCTGTTCCGGTCGCTTTTTTTAATGATTTATAGCTCTGTTAGTTATTAACTTCGAAAATTCATTCATCTGTCCGAACCAACTGTTTGGTCAGGCAGCAGCAGCAGCTCAAGATGCACGATTTCTTTTCCTATCTTATCACACACGCAACATAACCTTATTTGACATCATTCTGGGTTTTGCCACAGATTGAGAAGCTGTTATTCGCTTTAATCATGATCTTTAGCACACGCCATTGACACATGTGATTCATCTAATATCGCTCGTGATAATTCGCTGTAGAAATGGCTCCATTTCATCGCGTTTTTGGAAAGTTTCGCAAATGGAAATAACTGTCGTGTAAATTTTCTCGCATCAATCCATATGATACCCAAATACCTGACTTTTTGTTTTCTTCAAATAGGTTAAAATTGTTCGTAGTAGATATTTCATTCTCAGGAGGTGTCATCGCTACTATCGTATCAATAATTGCTAATAATAATTGCTCAATTTCCGCAGTAATTTTTTTTTGCAGTTGATCGACCACTATGAAAAGTATCTTTTCGGGACGAAAGCAACAGAACTATCTATGTGCCATTCATTTCGACCAAAAACAGCGGAAATCTGGGCAACATCTGTGCCTTCATTGTGATAAGACTGTAAAATATAAAACATTTTTTTCAGAAAATTAATTCGTTTTCAACTCGTTATTAATAAAACGCTTAAGCTAATTAATCATATTAACGTTTTTTTTCTGATTCGCTATGTTTTTAACTTCTAAAGAGATTCCGAGCTCGTCCAGAATATATATATATATATATATATATATATATATATATATATATATATATATATGTTTACAATCCATAAACTAACTTTTTATAAAGTTTTAAAAATAAATATTTTGGGTACTTGCTTTACTATACTAATGTCGTTATGTTTTAGAGTTTCCAACCCAGTTTACTAAAACGTACGTCACAATTACGAAGAAGACAATTAATTACAACACTACACCTGTTTGCAAGAACTAAGAAAAGGAAAATCTTTAACTTTCCAAATGCTTCTTATGATACGTCTTTTACTTTTTATTTGCTATTGTACATACAAATGATACAGCGCAGGTCAGTTAGTCACTTGTATCCCATTCTCATTCATACATCTCAGACTCTGTAACTTGAGAACTGTTCATTTTCTTTTTGTGGGATCTGGTATCCCTAACTGGGTTACGATCCTTTCCCGCTATATGTTCTAATCCCTAGAGAGCTTTTATTTCTTTTTATCATTGCTCTGTTTCACGCTACTCTTGGCATCCTATAAGTTCTCCATGATTATTTATTAAGCATCTCAGAAAAAATTTCTCTTCGGAACATTCAAAAGATTCACACAGTTCATGACAACTCTTTTCCAATGGACTGGAAAAGGAAACGGCGAATCCGCAGTGTTAGCTGTATATATTCTGTAAAAAATGCAAGGGAAAGGTGCCAAAATTGAAACACAACTCAATCGTTTGTGCAACTCGGCAGCCCGTCGCCTTTGGAATTAAATGTAAGGCTCAATCTAAACTATACGTTCCTTGAAAATTAACGCAGTTATATACGAAGATAAACGTACATCTGTACTCTTCGAGTGTCAAGCAAATTAATAAAGGTGCACAGACGAAGGCTGGCGTATTATGAACTTCATAAATGTAGTCGGCATTAGTCAGTCGAAATGCTATAGTCAACTAAAAAGACAATGGAAGTGAAACACAAATCCGTGAAAATATACGACTATGTGCACGCATTGGGAATGCAGTTTAGGCCAGGCAAGTGGGTACGTACCACCTTACTGCGTGTACGCACGTACGTATTGTTGTTATCACTGTTATCATTATTATTATCACTTTCATTATTTTAATTTGTACGCTGAGCATGTCCCTGTTTCTCTGTGCCTTTCTTTTCTACGCTCTCATCATTACTGTTATCGTAATCATTGTAGAAACCGTCTCATTGTCACTAGTGACACCTAGTGACAACAGCCGGCGACACCTAATCCTAGCTCCCTGTTGCTCTACCCACCCCACCAATCCCAAGACTATGTATTCACAATACTGTTTCAGATCAATTAGCGCCATTGCTATTAGGTCCATTGAAATTCACCCTGCTACTGTTATTATGCCTTACCTATTAGATGATGGCATATACATTATGATTATGGTGATGATGACGAGTATAATACAATAATACAGCACGTCACACGTCGGTAAAGGGTCCCATCAAGCTTGCTACCAGTCCTCAATAGGCTAAAATCGAGCGTTTATGGACGTCTAATAGTCAAAGAGAACTCAATATTATCACAATGACGAGAAGTATCTGATAGATTACGTAACCAAACTCGTCGCTGTGTTTCTCTCCTTTACCTTTAACCTGTAATCGTTCGTAAATGGGCGTTCTTCTTTGTGCATGTGCGTTACTCTGTATGATGACTATGAATGGATGTATTTGGCATTCAGTTTCAAGGACGGACTTCCGGCAAACGTGTCCTCAAGGTCCTGTGAGGTCTCCACTTTGATAACGGTGACAGGGCTACACATTCGCAGAATGAGTGACTCATGGTTGTGCTTTTTGCTTGCCCTTAATCGAGAACTATTAAACGTCTTCTCTCGGGTGTTCGTCCGGATCTATGAAATCGCTACCATTGCTGTAGGCCCCGATGTTTCGTAAGGGTCAGTTCCGTACGAAGATGCGCAACAGTTACTTGTGTTTCGCAAGCGCAAGAGATCGCCGTCTAGTAAATGTCATAACTCGCAGCCAGTATCGACATGCTCATTTTTAAAATAGCAGATCGGAGCTGCTCACTTGCGAATAAACGGACGTTTCTTCATGGGAGGCCGGTTTTGCTTGAAGTTCTCCACCTGTTTCCTGTTGTTCGATGGATTCTTCTGCGAGGGTTTGCTGTTGCCGCTTTAATCGACTCACCCCGAGTTCGAAGTCATCATCTCCCGATGACAATACCCCCGGCTTATAGTTACCTGTCATACACAGTAAAATGCATACTTGCTTTAGTTTACGTAATTGTTTATGCTTTGGATCAAGGTAAACGTCTAATAGGAATGTAAAGGCCACTTAGCATGCACGACTTAAGCATCAAACAGAAAATCCCTTTGTTTTTCCCGATGCTTTAGCGGAGAAGACGAAAGGGTTTTTTTTTTAATGCGCGTCATTTTTTAGCATAAACGAACGTCAGAAAGCGCATGGATTTCAAGAAGTAAATTGATTTTCAGTCAACATTTAACATAAAATACAACTCGAGGATGATATAACGACTGCACAGTGGAGATGTAGCAATAACAGACCTGCCTAAAATTATATGATACTGCTGGTAGCATTCAAGCCGATCAAACAAACTGCCGTGGTATATGGGGCTGATTTCTGGTCATTGTTCTTACACTTGATCCCTTTCGCCATTGAGACTACATTGATTGAAGTTATTCTTTTTAATCGCCGAACCAGATATGTATTTTTTACCAAGTCGACTGCATTGACTTTTGCTTCAGACAAACTAAGGGTATCCATACTCGCCAAGGGCGTTGTTTACTTGTCGCCGTTACCGTTAAGTGAGTATGGTTTTAGCCTAAGAGAGCAATTACCATCCATGTTGGTTTAATGTTTCCTACTTATATAGAGGTAGCCGATAAAAAGACAAAATTTGTGTGTGGCTATAAAACGTATATAAGTAATGTTCGCCATCTGCAAAAATTGTGTAGACAGATTATTAATATTCAATTACAGTTGTGTACTTATCTGCCAAATATCACTAACTGATTCTGTGAAAATGGTCGACGATATTCAACTGCAAGTACATCTATAAGAAAATTTCATCACGGTACATTGCAGCAAGCTATCATTGCTTCACCGATCCACATCGCAGCTCTTAGCACGGCAAACCACTATAGTGCATCTCTAATTTTCGTTTGAAAGCACTTCCCTAAAGGTAGATTTTTGCCCTTTTTTGCCCCTAGGCAGTAGATTGTAGTTATTAGTTTAATAATTTCTCGGCAAAGTGGACGTATCAAGATGGACACATTTCAAACTACACAAAAGATTAGAAATGCTTATATACATCTGTATGTCGATATGTATAATGTAATTGCGTTATCGATTCTCGACAACTCATTGACGCAATTAAGCCAGTGTCGCGTTGTCATACTCATTGAGAGTATATTAGCTAAAAAAAAAAAGGTTGAATATGCACGATTAGCAGGAAGCAACCAGTTCACAGTCATAATTTAAATAAGGCAAGGTAATATGATTTGGGTTACTTAGAAGCGAGATGCCTTACATTTAGAGCTGTGCTTAAGTTACTCTCTACTGTTTGAGGAATCGTAATTGGTGATTTACTACGAGCGAGCATTCTAAAGTTCCAGTCAAATTTTTCATCTAATGTTCGACGATACAGTAGATGCAAATGAATCGTATGCGTTTCATTGATGTTAAAATGCAGATTAATTGAGGATTAAGGAACTTTACCAGTGTAAAGATTATCGTTATTGTCTACGGAGTTTACAAGAATACGTTGTTTGGAAATGGTTGCATTACCACTTATCTCGATACGTATTGGCTTCAATGATCCACCCTCAAACCTAGAAAGTTAGGATAGTTGGGATAGATAGGAAGTTTTGCATAATATGGCAATACAACGACTGGTTTTTGGAAAATATTGTGTCACATAGTTGCGGTGAGTGCTTTGATCAATTATATTGACCTGTTAATTATTGATTGAGCTCTAACGCTAAAACGCTTGCGTCATCCCTAAAGTAAATTTGCTTCTATAGGGTCTATAACGAATATTAAATCCAGCACGCTAAACAGTAACCGGGGTTCAGGATGTTTAACAATGAAAGATATAATTTTGATAAAATATTACAAACATTTATCTTTTTTTCTACGATTAATTTTGATACATCTTTATATATCAAGGTGCGAGCAATACCTAACAATATTAGCGGAGGCAATATTTTGGTTGCCCAACTATTACTTAGTTTTCAACAAATATAATAAAATATGACAAAATACAAAGGCATGATTTAAAAACAACAGTTTCGGAGCGCGTTCGAAGGCATACGTATTCGACAGATTTGAATCTGCTCTTTGCGCATAACGAGGTATTTTATACTAGCGAGGGCAATTTGGCATTGATCGATGCATATCTAGTTCGTCACAGACCGAAAGAACGTAGTCATTCTACTTAAATATGAAATTTTCTATCAACAAAACAAGAGCAAATGTTAGATAAGATATATGAATCATGCAAATTAAAGAATAAGGAAAAATTGTCTCGAATACTGCAAGATGTGTTGTTACTGTTGCTATTATTCATCGTGAAAGTAACGTAAGCCGGGACTACCTAGCAATACTGTAGTCTGCTTCCCCTATCCAAAAAATTAAAGGGAAGTCACGTACCAAGAACGGCACTGGGCAGCCCTCTGGCGGTGTTTTCTGATGCGTCTTCTTCACCGCTGCCGCAGAGATCGTCTACCAGCGGGTCTTCGTCGGTTTCGTCGTCGTCGTCGTCGTCTTCAGCTTCGTACTCAAAGAACGATGATAAATTTTGTTCATCAAAACGTATCGAGAGGTTTTTATTGCGTGTCGAGATCAGCGAGCCTCCTCCAACTACAACGTTCTCTCCAATGAAAGTGATTCCTGAGAAGAATATAATTTTATGTTAATATCAACCTGAAAACAATATTTCTATTAAAAAGTGTAAATAACGTCAAAAAATCAGTAAGATAAACTCTGCGTTTTATCTAATTTAATGAGCACTCACATTTAGCTTCGTATACTAATTTACTTAGTTTACAGTTTTTTGTGAAGCGTTTTTGTTTTTGTTATCTAAGTAAGAAAAACGTTATGCATTTCGACATTTCTTCTTTATATGAGCAACTGAAGCAAGTGCCATAATTGGTCGGTTGCCACCACTAGATATGACGCCTTCAAGCCTTTCTCACGAGCTAATACAACTACAGCGCGCACATCTAAGAAGCTATACTTTTGTTAAGGCTTTATAGACTTGTTGCTTAACTAACACTCAATTGAGTAATGCTCCTGTGCACACAACTTATGCATACTATGGCAACAATCGAAATTATAAGCCGGAGTTAGTTTTATTTGCTAGGGCTTACCGCTTGGTTCAGAGCTGTCGTCTAGTCCATCTAACTCCTCTTTGGAGGCCAGCCTCGCGGGTGAAGGCATAACAGCCACTTGTGGTTTGACGTCCTTTCCACGAAAATCGAACACCATCGAGGTACAGTTGGTGCTAAGGCTCCCGACCATGTAACTCCCCATATTTCCCACTGACCCTGCAGAACCCGATGTAGTTGAATTGCATCCGGCTAGAGGACGTGAATTACTTTCGCTCAAAAGTAAAGGACAGGCGCGCGGTTTGACGATCAGCGATGGCGTACGTGGTTCAGACACGGTGTCGGTAACAAGTCCAGCAGGCGACCATGACACTTGCATCTGTTGAGCACCGGCTGATGCTATCTGGCGAGAAGACACTGAAGTTAAGTTGGTTTGCGGCCGAATATCGCTTCCGCAGTTGATGCCTGTAACTATTGCAATCATCACATCATTGTTGCTACTGCTGATATTATCTTATTTCGCGTACGTTATCTAGATAGTTATAGCGTTTGAACAATCAGTACCATTATCATCGCCATGCTGTTACCAGCTGCTGTTGCTGCAGAAAAGCTCTTTCATAATACGCTAATTACACGGAGGTAATACATTGTCGCCTTATTCTCAAGAGAGCTAAGCATCTAGACACCTACACAGATCTAGAATATAACCTATACAGTAAGAGATAGACCCTTGCACCCAATACCGTTACAATAGGAAAATTTTATAACTGGGTGCTTGTAATTAGGACGTTAACAAAACTCCTTTTTTATATTCAGACCTGAAATGCTCGATAAAATATATAGATTATGTACAAATTGCACGCCAAATGAACGCTTGTGCGATATAATTGGCTACTGAAATAGCATCCTTACATTCATTGCAGGGTCACACAACTCTACTGTGCATACATACACACGTTATCCGCTAGGGCAAGCATGGACTAACAATTCCTAGGTCCGTTGATCGTTTGCACCCGGTTTAAATTATCACATACCGTAGCAGTTGATATGCGAACGCTTCAAAATCGAAGTAGCCTTATCCGAACACAGACACGGACACGTAAACACATCATACATCGGATTTTTTTACTGCATTTTACGTGTTTTGCGCACTCCCGCCATACAGTTTGAACAGCGTCTGAAGCGAATCTGATTTGGCAAGTGGCGTCGTCATAGTAAAAGGAGGTACCTGCACGCTTATCGAAAGAGGTATACTCTGGCGACTGAAAATACTCGATCTCTCTACAAAAAAATTACGTTTTTTTTGCGTTCATTGTAAAATGCTCATTATAGTGGCAATGGTGGTTGTCGTCCCCATGCTTTTCTCGGCCGTCTAGCGGACCCGTTTTTGCAAGGTGCCAACCGCTAATAGTTCCTGGCTGTTTCTGTAAATTCAGTATCTTGTTGCAGAGTTTCGCGTTATGTTATTGTCACTGCTACTGGTGTCTGCTGCTATTGTCAGTGGGTTTTTCTGACTCTTCAACGAATAATGGCCTGACTGTCTATCTGGTAAGGTTAGCGCTGATTGTTGGCAGTGCTTTTCGCTGCCTCTGTCCACTCGACGCTCCTTCCGTTCGACTTACCTATAAGCCAGCGCGGTCGGCTTTTAATCGACTGTTGGTTTACTGTTTGGTTCCTACTGCCATTGCCGACAAGGCAGGATCGACGACGACGACGGACCACAATGAGAGTGAAGTCAACTGATCAACAAGTTGAAAATCAGGACTAACGCCAGTGATCCATCTACTGCAGCGACTTGCACACCATAGCCACGGAGGTGCAGCGCTCGTTAGTGCTGTGGTATTCGCAGATGGTAGTACGCCAATATGAATAAATACATGTAAAATATGATATTTTTTCGAGCACCAGGAGAAGCTGGGGCTGAGAAGAGAGAAGGGCTTACCCGTTAAACCAGCAACATTAGTAGACAACACAGTCTGATATAGTAGTCGAAACAAGCAACCTTTGGAAAGTCCTCGTCCTTTCTGTACAGCGTTGCCATTTACTACGTGGCAGACAGTAGTGATTTGTCCGTCGGATGCCGAATGGCCGTCGATGTTCTATCGACACAGGCGCCCGTTGGGCGCACCAAACTTCAAGTTGGCACCATCGCTCGAAAGGCGGCGGATCGGCAACAGAAGGCGAGAGTAGCCGCCACTGATAAAAGACCAGAGCGCCGGCCTGTTCAGTCATGCATTTCTGCTCCTTCGAAGAAGTTTCTACTACCGACTGAACAGTTTTAACAGAAGTAGTAGCAATGTGCTAATTAAACGTACTAATTCGCATAATAATTCGAAAGCTCTTCTTATCAACCTTCTAATTTAAGGAATGCATTATTAATCGGACAAGCGTTCTACTGGCTTCTTACGCACCGTAAATATACATAATATTTGCACGATAAAATAACACTGATATACTAAGCAAGCTTTCACTCAACATATACATGTCTTGTGATATATCAAGTTCGTTAAAAGATACTTGCCATGTTGGACCAAGTCTGTATATATCTTTATAATTTCCCTTATCTAGTTGAACCGACCTTTTAAGATATTCGCATCTACTTATGACACAGCAGCGACATAGTAGAAATGCTAGTGGCTAGATACTAACGATCATTCTCTGAAGAGCTGACCAATTCTAATCTCCTCAAGCAAAGGTTATGTAAGGGGCGAAAGTGGAGCCGGTCTAGGTTTTAACATTTTATCACGTTCGTAAGTAACTAGAATACCAGCCAGCCCAGTGAGAGCCCTAACTTGGATCAAGTTATTGCCTCAAACAAAAAAAGTTAATTATTACAAGCACAAAACAATATTAAAAAATCTTTTTTTTTTCAGTTTTGTGCCGTGATGTCGAATGTGATGTCTTCTCCAGAAAAGGGTTGACAATTTCTGACAAAGTCGATGGTTTCATGAAGCTTACTTTCTTGGTTTCTCAAACAGCCTGGTAATGACGCGCGATATAGTTGACCCAGGGGCTATGGGAGGCCCGCTATAGCGTCACCAAATGACTATATCAAGATAACGGAGTTTACGGATCAGGATCACTGAGCTCTCGGAACAAGGTAGTCAGATGAGGAAAGAAATGTGATCTAATTGTTGGAACCGGTTAATACAATAATAAGCAATGTGACGAAACGGCTCAAAAAATGCGGCTCATAATTTACTAAAGCAAACAAATGGAAGAGCCTTATCATAAATAATACACTGAAATAATATAGAAAATAACAGATTTTACGGATGTCAAGTCACAGAGTAATAGAACAACCGTAAACGATTCGGATTTACAGCTAGGTCACTTTGGTCTCACCTCACGTTAGGTTAGATTGGGAAAAGTAATGAGGTCAAGTTGGGCGGCTTTTGGCGCGTTTAATGCGGATCACGTACAAATAACCGAATAAGGTGGCCGCTTATCACTCCGGCAGACCGGATTCAAAAATTGCACATTGTTAAAAACAAACATCTATTAAATCTATTTTATGTTAGCTCTGAAAGCTATCTACTACTTCACTGACTAAGCCGTGCTCGGCGCAATTACTACAATACAAAGCCTTCTGTCGCGCGTACTGTTGGTCTCCATAAAATCATTGTATAGTAAAAAGATGGAAAACGTTCGATTTCAAGGGCCTCCCGTGAAGTTAAATGATAATAGACAAACATACAACAAAACACACACTGAGGAATCTTCGGGAAGTGCCACAGCTACACAAACCCTAGCTGCTTTATATACTTTACGGGTATAAGGAGCTGGTCTTGGATCATCCATTTAGTGACGAAGTCACAGCCTGCATGATGTGGGCATAATCTTAAATGAAAACGCATTTCCCACTTGGATTTTTTTACTTTTAAATCACTTTGTCTTTTAGTTAGTATCCGGTGAGATTTACACTAAAATTCAATATGTTCCGACAAGCTGTCCATGCTATTACTTGTTTTCATTATAAGCATTACATTTAATTATAAACGTGTTGTACAGTTATTTGATACACAGAACGAACTGGCTAGATCATCCGTCATTAATATCGTCGGAGGCACTAATATAGACGCTAACTTGAACTTACATGTGCGATTCACGCTGATCTTTTTAGTGCTTCTTTAGAATAGAAATCACGTTTTTCTTACCCAAGTTCTCATCGCTTATTAGAACTTTAAGCAAATTATACGCATTAATGTTATTGCACGCAGCCAATTTGCTTTTTTCCGAGGAAAAAATTATATATATACATATATATATATATATATATGTATATACATATGCATATATATACATATACATACATATATATATATATATATATATATATATATATATATATATATATATATAGAGAGACTCCCACTTGAAACAACTGACAAATAGGCCATGAACCTACTAATTAATAATTATTTACAATTATGCGACAATGATATTACGATATCAATGAAAATTACCCAATGCAACGAAGTTAACAAGTGAATAAGTACTTCAAATATAATTATAAAAAATATATATTTATAGAGCACGCACTCATAATACCTGGATCTGCGATGCTGGACACAAGGGTATTATGTGAGTGCTCCGCACTGACATTGACCTGCCGATTGATTTCGTTGAGAACCGCCTCTGTACCATTTACATTAGACGTAGAAGTGGCAAGTACGGTCAGACAAGTATTCGTTTGACTGTTGTCCTTGTTATGAAGAAGTTTATTCAAGGGGGGACTATTTCTTGCTTCGGATTCTGAAGGTGGCTGCTCCTTACGAAGGGGCTTGATGTTTGCTACTGGTTTTTTTATCGGGGATGTCTTGTTATTGCGTAGGATGCCGCCACTTCCCTATTCGGAGGATAGAAAGCAGAGCCAAAATACCTGGATCTTTTATCTACCGGCTAATCAGAAAAAAGCTTACTGGATATTGCCTTTGAGCGCTTCCACCTCAAGAGATTGTTAGCAGTAATGTTATCGGTACTTGTTTGGCGAGCCAATCACATAATACACCACATAACTTTGGGTAGCGTCGTCAGATTTTAAGAAGAATTATAACAAATCGCATAATTTTCACATCTAATACAAATTTTGCAATTGAATGAACTGTTCAACATTGCAATAACTGTGCGAATGCCTTTACCAAACTGACCTTCTGTGAAAGATGCGAAGCTGCGGAAGATTGATGGAGGGTGCCATTGGTCAGATGCTGCGGGGATGACGACGTTGAGGTCTGTTCGAAGAAGCTTTTGTACTTTCGTACGATATCTCTACGGGGCAGTTCACTTTCAACAACCGAACTCATCGAAGAACTCACCACACCTGCACGCTGATTTCCTGGTCCTTGATATACACGTTTATGTATAGTCGACCGACAATTAATCTCACGTATGCATATATTTATCAATAGGCCTGGTTTACATGGCCATCCTTAATTAATGTTTGTTCACAAATAAGTCTCTCATTTGTCTTTGACTATGTGTCAGTAATTACGCGATCGAATGAAGTTTTAGTATCAAGATCGTAGGAGCGGCGACCTAGCCAATCTTTAATTAGGAATTATGAAAATTGTTCATGTTTCAAAGCGAGAAAACATAATTACCATTATCGCAGGCGCTATTGCTGTTGTTGTTCGTGGCGTTCAAATGGTGACTTTCGTAATGACGGTTGGCATCGAGTAGAATTTCCATCGAGGGGCACTTTGGAACGAGAGGGTTCCGTCGGGGCTCATGATGTCGCATGTTAGCTGGCGAAATCATCAATAACTTGTGGGTTGTGTTCATTGCAGCGCCGATTCCACTGACTGAAGATGCGGCCGGAACTCTGTGAAAAGCACCGCCAGTTTCCGCAGTTGTGTTGGGCCCCATCCCATCCTGGAGATTTTCTAATGAGGCACATGACCGAAGATGATTTTTTTTTCCAGGGGCATGAGTAGATATGGCACCGTTCTGACCGCCAACTTGGTTGTTCATCGATAAATTGATGAACTTTGACTTTAGGCTACATGGAGTAGAAAATTAGAGTGGGCCATTTTTAGAAAATGCCCATCTGGATTATTGATTGTATAGCTTCGATTAGTATCATTGCAAAGTTGCTTTTTTAGAAGACAAACTTGGACAAAAAAGAGCATAACGTATCACAAGTAACGCTTTTTAAGCGGCTTGGTATATTAAAATAGGTGTGTAATTTGAACCAACCACGTCTGGTGTACTACATTGGGCTACAAAATGTATACTTTGCAAAATAAATAGATATATATATATACATATATATATTTACTTTGAGCTTCACTCAGCCGTATGCAAATATCAACAATTGCTAAGTTGGTATGTCGTTTTTTTCTAACTGCCAATCTTTTATCCGCGAACAAATAGCTTTGATTATTCGTAATAGGAATACTTTTATTGTTTTTACCGGTCAACGATGCCGGGCCCGTACTCCCAGTAGTCCTGTTCGTGGCTGATTGAAGCGACATCTTGCGATGAATGGGAAGGCCGCATCCTCGCCAAGGACACCACTTCAGTGCCTTCTAGACCCCCGACACCTCCGCCACTAGAGTTGCTCAACGAAGTGCGATGAATTAACACCGGGCTCTGCTCGACACAGACACCGCGCTCCTCGCCCATCATCTCCAGACAACTGAAATTAAACAGAAGTAAAAGCGATGTGAGAATACGCTCGCGTTACCCTAAGACAGTAGTTAGTAGGTTAAGAGTTAACCTATGTATTATTATATAAATGTTACATATATAATAGTATATAAGTATCCCGAATGGGAAAACAAACTTTCACACAAGCTTACTTGCCTAAATAATTTAGTTCACATTGGGAGGGCAATAAAATCTGATTTCTATACCTATTATGTATAAACACGACGTATCGAAGCTAGCGAAATTCATCTGGCCAAATTGAAGTCTACTGATAAAATCTTTGCAACAAAGCGATATGCCGCTTTGCAGCTTCGATTGTAAGAACGTCAGATACAGAACGTTGCATTTCGAGTCGGTTCTATTTCTACGTAGGAATTACGGTGGAGCGTGGTAGTGCTATTGGTAGCAGACACCGCTCCTGCTGACAACCACTCCTTCGAACAACCGAAAACTGCGAGGAGCGGGATATCGGTTTATTCCTGTCACGTTTCGTAGCGAGCCAGCCGTGCTAAGCAGCGCATAGTGGCTTAAGTACGTAAAACTTGACACATTTATTTCTGTCTTTTGCGGATCTGTACAATATTGATAAAAAAAATATCACGTCCGAGAGGTACCTTCGCGTGGCTTTTTCTGTCAAATTCCTGTTTAATTAGCGGTATAGACCCCGTCGGCAGCTAATGAATCGCACTCTTTTTCTATAATACTTCGTCTAAGTCTGATCCCATAATTGATAAACTTAATTGTAAATACGGAACGTGTGAGACGAATTGACGGACTTGAGATCTCTAAATTTATAGTCGACCTTACAAAAGCACATACTGAGATAATAGTAGCTTACGATCCAATCAGGTAGTTGTATTGAAAATCGCTAAAGGGGAGCAAATCACATCAGATTAACAAATTATGTTATAAGTCAATACGTAAAACAAACAAGTATATTAGAAATGTGGTATCAACGAATATACCATATTATTGGTTTAAAGTATATTATAAATTCAAATGCAGACGACTAAAAAGAGCAACGACGACACGAGTTACCCTCTGCCTCAACTTCAACGGTGATTGAAAAGCTAGGACGGTCTTGCCATGAAAAATGGTCTAAGAGAATGTGTGATTACAGAAGGCGTAACTAACAGGATGAGGCGGAAGGCATAGAAAGGGATGTAGGGGGAGGGGGGAGGGGGTAGACCCGCTAAACATTCATTAACACGCCACAGTCCTTGCACGTGCAAGTTCATCGAACAGAGCGTGCGAACACCTATAGTAGCAATCATTTTATGTTTGTGTACAGGAGCTGATGGCCGTAGCAGACGCTCAACTTAGAGGGCAACAGGCCGATGTTCGCACGTAATCAACTAAATGGCCGAATGAATGAATAATTGGAGACGACGACGTTATATGGTCGTGATTACACAAAAGAAAAACCGTCAGGGCTCGGTGCGGGCGTCCCGGCAGCGATTGTTCCCGTCGCGATTGACAGTTCGTTTTAAATAACAGCAAGCAAACAAACAGTATAATGATAGCTTCTTCCTTACCCTATGCAGCCATGGAATTAACATGCATATGTACGATCACGCATTCACATACATACAAACGCATAGAAACAAACATATCATACACATGTACGAACGATGCGACTATGATAAATGCGTCTGTCCCTTTAAGTTGATTGTGACGAATAAACAGACGTCTTCTTCAGACAACAATATCGCCAAATGTTTCCCTACCTTTGATCACCAGTACTCAAGCATCACTTTTATTGCGCTGTTGCATTAATTAACATGTCTTAATATTCATGTTGATTGTATTTCTACGTTTATCTGTTATATGAGGTGCAGTTGCAAGTTCGTTTCATTAATGTATTGAGAAGAGCTTCAAATCATAATTTCTTTTAAAGACCTTGAGCTTGAAAGAAAGAGTTCGAATATTTTCACCGTCAAAGACATGAATCCTATAGAGATTGAAAGTATTATCATGTGTATCTATTCTAGTTCTAGCATTCTGTTTGCTTTGAATAAAAGGTCTACGAAGGCTTTGCTATCGTCAGCGACCAAGGGTTACATAATAACAATAGGATTAAAAGCTGAATGTTTCTTGCCGATGGCCCATGGAATTCGACTCCATCGAAATACTTTATCTACTGATCACTATCATTATACGTACGTGCGTAGAGTATTATTTCTTAGCAATTACCTCACGGAAGACCATACTTTGCGAAGAAGTAAAAAAAGGATAGCCAGTGTTCAAAGAAACGAATTGGGCTTCCCGTCTGGGTTGCGCTACGTTGGGATGAATAAACACCTCATCCCCTTTTCAAGCCTTCCTCCAAAGCATATTATGTAATCGAAAAGCGCAACTTGTCGCATGTCGAAAGACATCCCCACGGCCCGTACCCCTGTCCCGTCTGGCCATAACTGATGACTGCATTGACTGCTAGCGTATCGCAAGCAAAAACATCAGTGGAGTCGCTTATGCTACGATTAGCACTAATGGAAGGGCAGCAGTATGCTGGTCCTGACTGTTAGCGCCTACCAAGCAAATGGCCTACGTGTGTCCGCGCGTCTATGTGCTAATTGTTCTCGACGGTAGAACGCCGGTGGAAAATAGTGAAGCAGCAAAATAACGAAAATGCTCCCGGTACACAGTAACGGGTGTTGTCGGCCGAAAAAGCTCATCCCATTTGCCAGCTTCACGCAGGATTCCGGGTGTTGACCAATTATAAATGATAGCTAACTAGATCCAGCAGAACCTGGATTTATCTACGTTTCATAAGCACAAGGATAGTTTTTGTGTTGTACCAAATAATCCGAACAAAGTATCATTCGTAAATTGGACTAATCTTAAGGCTGGCTGGAAGCGAAAGAAACGCAACAGGCTACGACCGAAGTTACTGGAATCCATCCTTGTAGAGAGAGTTATTTTCGGGTTGTGCACCACAAAGGCACTACTGAAGAAGCAGAGCGTGTTGATCCATAGCTCCTCCTGTTTTCATTCAATGTTTTCAGAGTACCGCAGTGCGTCTGCTGTCTTTTGTTGCCAAGCTATGGAAGTGTGTACTGCTGCTGTCCTGTGCTTTATTCATTCGTTTGATATCTGAAGTACGTCAGCCCCGACCTTTTTGATTAGCACTGTACCTCAATGAAACCGTTGATAGCATCGTACATCATTCGCCTTTGCGTGGGACTACAATATCTACTCGTTTTCAATTAATGGATTTATCTTGTAAGGTAAATATGAGTGCTGTTCTTTAAGCTATTTCGAATGGTAAGGGATTGAGCGCTACGGTTTTGAATTTCGCAAAGGATATTGTGTTTTAAAGGTTGTCGTGTTGAATGAAGCACACATTTCACTTAAGAAGGCGGCTCGATGCGCAGCTGGTGCGTTTTCCGTAGTTTTAAACAACACTAATACGGTAATAAGGTAGTCCAACTTAGAAGATTAACTACAGAGACAAATCGAGTTCTTTTATTTTTAGCATGTGTGTAATTGTATTATTCGTTGATTTCACGGATTTGAGCTGTTCGCTGTTTCGGGGAGTGTAATCCCGAACCTTTGTAGACAGCCTTGAGAGGCGATGTGCCAGTCTCCCATTTTATTTTAATTCAACAGACTTTGTGTAACCATATTTGAAGTTTTGGGCCAGTTGTGTTTCAATCATACGCTATGGGGCGCAGTTGTTTATCTAAATTGTCGTTCATTGATATTTGTTTACGATCATTCATTGCCCAGTGAGTACGAGCATGTACGTACTACGCTTCAGAACAGCTTCCAAGCCTAACTTAAAGAATAATTAGAATGGATATTGAAAATTCAGAGAGAGCCTCATTAATTTTATCGTATATGATAAATGCGAATCCGTTAAAATGAATTACTATATATATATATATATATATATATATATATATATATATATATATATATATAAATTCAGGTTTCCATACCGGTTCAGATACCAATACTAGTAAGCCAATGCCACCGCAGCGTTTAGACGCTTTACAGCATTAGTCAAATGATGAAGGGTTCCTTTTCTCTCCCTATACCTCTCTGGGGCTTTTGTGTAACAATCCAACGACAGTAAACATGTCGTCTGATGAAAACTTGTATACTTTCGCGATGACAGCAGGAACTATTAGTCTTGCTACTATCAGTGCTGACCATAGCGGCAAAGAATAGTCATCATCGTCATCTTTGCGGTAGTGGTGGTAACGGCCTCGATGCTGTGGTACAGGTAACCTCCTCTGAGGACGGCGGTAGGTACGAACAAAACGCGACTTGCTATTTTCTTACGGCGTAGCAAACAGCAGCAGCAGCAATAAGTATCACAATGGTGACAACAGCAATATGCATATCGTGTTGGTCGATTAGCGGTTGTAGACCAGAGTTAAATTGCCCGACGCAATGGCTTGCTTAACTAGACACGCAGCTTTTTTATGGGCTATATTAAGAGCGCAAGCTACAGTGTTTACAAGGAACCAGCAGCAACTGTATTGCATGAAATTGTCTGAAAGAATGGACGACATCATATAGCACTCATAACTTCGCCAGCAAAAATGCGTACATTGGCACCGGTTATAGCCATCGTTGCTCGCGTTTCAGCACAGACCATGAATAGTTAGTTACTTGACAGAGTCAACTTCGTCCTCAGGTAACTGTGGAGATAGGAAACAGAACAAAAGATAACAGTAGGGTCAGCAAATTGACAACACCAGCGGGGATGAGGAATGTAACCCTAGCGCGGGAGGCTTGCTGCACATCGTAAAAACGACTAGTACCAAGGCATTTCATCGGTTTCGCCTGTTCCCTCTAATTCTCTCTATACCTGGATATTTCTCTTGACCGACCTTGCCCCAAAGTGCTTCAGGACATCCGGCCCTCGAGTTCCATACTATGCCAGCTGTGAGGTAGGCGCATCACCACGCAACCTCAATACGTATTGCTTTAGCTTTGCGCACTGTGAATTCGCCGGTCTATGAGGAGCAGCTTCGTAAA